AACTTTATCATATATATATATATATATATATATATATATATATATTTATCTGTGCTGCGCTGCTGTTGGCACTCCTGCGTTTTTTTTTTCTGCTCCGCTGTAGCCTTTTTCTCTAAGAGAGCGGCGGAGGGGAGTCCGGCGGTGCAGGGCCATGAGTCGCTGCCTCCCTGCCTTTTTTTTTTTCTCTTTTTCTCTTTTGAATTGCTGGCATGGCAGGGGCTGCAGGAGTTGTTGTGGAGATTGGCATGTGGGCCCACATGAAGGCGTGCTGTAGATGCCACACTTCCACGCTGCGCGGTGAGTGCCCGAAATGCGGCGTCGCCATTTCCTCCACTGACGGGAGCGTCAATTCCAGGCAAAATGGAACGTTCTTGCAGGGAAATAATGGGCTCCACGACGGCGCACAGTTACGGCAACCGCTCAATTCGGACAGCAACAACGTCAATAACAGCGGCACTGAAAGTGGAGTGCCAATGGATGTCTTGCTGCCATCAACTAGCGCTTTCGAGGGGCGGTTAGAGCTTGTGGAGCTACAGTGCCGCATGTACCACGATCAGCTCCAACAGGTCATTAGAGAAAGAGATGAACTGCAGAAGAAGGTGCGTGCGATGGAAGTGCAACGCTTGCTGGGGACAAGCAAGATAAGGGAACTTATCGAGGAAAACAATAGTCTGCGGGCTGTTGTGGAGGAGGCTGAAGTGTGTCTGGGTGTTGCAGAACTCGAACAGCAGGCATTGTTGGCAGAGACTCAACGTCTGCAGGAGCATCTTTTTCCCTTGCAACGGCAATCCGACACAGTGAGGCCATTGACCAACACAGTCTCTTCCAATTTCACTGGGAGTTCTCCGCTTCTTTCCACTATGGCAAAGGCGGAGGTGGCCACAGAGCGGCTTTTACGGAGGAACTTAGCAGCACAAGGCGGCTTCAGTGGTGCGACTCATGAGATGGGACGGCGGGAGTTGGTTGCCTCCAACGAGCAACTGGAGGCTCGATGCCGCGTGCTCGGGCGCTGATTGCGCCGTTTCCGTGAGAAACTCGTTTCGCAAGGTTTTCTACGGCCTCCGATGAATACCCACGACGACCTAACCGGGTTGTAGCGTGAAAACGATGACGCTTCACGTCCCCTTGGACGCTGATTTCTTCTTTTTGTGCTGCGGTGCCTCTCTGGTGAGGGTGGGTGCGTGTGCGTGGGTGGTGGCATCCCTTCTCTTCCCTTTCCTTTCCTTTCCTTCCCTTCCCTTACCTAATCACCTCCACATTACCGGCGTCTGTAGAGCCACAGACCGTCATTCACGAGTTCTTGCCGGGGGTGTGGGAGTGTGTTTTGGCTTACGACGGAGTCCCCTACCTGCGTGTTCACCGTAGGAAACGTGCACAGACGTCCGCTTGGCTACTGTGTCTCCGCCTTCTCCCTTATTTTTTGCGTTGTCGTCACATATAAGGGCACAAGTCACCGCGGACGTCTCTCGCACCCTCTCCGCTTCATCATCAGTATCGTTAGGACATATTTTTCCTCCCTTTGCGACTACAGTTTCACTGTTCGCGAACTTCATTTTTTTAGTTTTAGTTTTTAAACTATTTTGTTCTTTTGACATTTTATCGATCCACTTGTCACCACTGTGGGAAACGAAACTTACGGAGGGATGACCAGCATTTCGCAGTGCAGCGCCTGCGGCAACTCCAAGTTGCTGGCGCACTGCCCCACGTGTGACAGCTCTACACACCACTACACCCCGCAACTGCAGCAGGTGTTCAACCGGCCGGAGCGTTCTACGGCTGCGTGGCTCGAATATGGCAGATCCCCAGCACAGTCTGTCACTTACACTACACCGCAGGATGATGCGCAGAAGCTGGCCGTGACGATGGGGGAGCTCGAGGATCTGTACCGCGCAAACCAAAAAAGGCACAACAGTCCCAAGGCAGTAACGGCACTCCATAGCGAGCACTCCGCCGTCATAACAGACCGGAACAATTTCATGCGGGAACGGGACCTACTGGCGCAAAAAGCCGCGGATCTTCACCAACAACTCGCTGCAGATAGAAATAACAGCATGCAGTCTGTAAGCCGCGTCAACTGCCTGGAAGAGGATGACGCACCGGCGTCACGCATAAACGACCAGCATACACTCACGGCACTTCAGCAGAAGGTTACGTCGCTGCAACGACAAAACAGCGCCGTCGAGGAGGTCTTCAAGGAATTTCAGGGCCGCGCTATTGCCTCGCAACGGCAGGAACGACTTCTACAACAAGAGTGTCGCAGAGTCACAACAGAAAGCGAACATGTAAAAAACGCAAATCATAAGCTTCAGCAGCAGCTTTTGGAACTCATGCAACTCCTCGAAGTCGCAAGGAAAGAAAAAGCAATCGCTGAAGCCAACACCAAAACAACTGAAGAGGCCCTCAAGCAAGCCCAGAAGGAAACAGAGGATGCATTACGTCAAATGGTCACCCACTACCACGAGAAAAATTACTACAAAACACTCTCCAGAAAGCTTGAATCAAACCTACAAGAAATGGATCTTGCACATCTGGACATTAAAAAAAAACTTCAAGAAGTTGACAACCACAAAGCACATCAAGAGACCCACAACACAAAACTTCACCCAGAAAGACAAATCGTCGAAGAAATAAAAAACATTGCCGTGGAGAACGAGCAGCTCCGAAAGCAGCGGGACGATGCGGCTGCGGAGAACGAGCAGCTCCGAAAGCAGCGGGACGATACGGCTGCGGAGAACGAGCAGCTCCGAAAGCAGCGGGACGATACGGCTGCGGAGAACGAGCAGCTCCGAAAGCAGCGGGACGACGCGGCTGCGGAGAACGAGCAGCTCCGAAAGCAGCGGGACGATGCGGCTGCGGAGAACGAGCAGCTCCGAAAGCAGCGGGACAATGCGGCTGCGGGAACGAGCAGCTCCGAAAGCAGCGGGACGATACGGCTGCGGAGAACGAGCAGCTCCGAAAGCAGCGGGACGACGCGGCTGCGGAGAACGAGCAG